ACAGTAGTCTTATCCAAAATGAGCAAAAGAGAAGTTAGTGGAATGAAATCCACTTGCTTCTTTCAGCTTTCTTACAAGTATGCCATGTTCTCAATTCCTTTATTTCTCTGCAGGAGCATGCTGATAAGGCGTTGCAATACTTTGTGTGTGTGGATAACAATCTTTCACTTTCTCTACTTTTGGTACGTCAAACGTTTATCAGTACATAGAAATATGACTTTCTTACTAGTCCCACCTCACATATAAACCCTCTGATCCTTTCATGCCAAGAGAGCCTTTTTCTTCCACTTGATTAATTGCTGTTCAAACATGGCATGTATTGCAACTATCCCTTATGAACTAACGGGAAAGTAATTTTACCTTGTTAACTTGTTCGTTATGTTATGGTATTTCGTGGTGGACTCACCTGACTTTACATTTCTTGCAGCGCTGGATCTGCAGCCATCAAACATTGTTTTCAAAAACTTGCAGGTAATATGATGGTAATTTTACTGCATCTGGTACAAGGCCAGTATTTTCACATTTAAACTGTTATTTTTCTGTGCAGTAAATGTGATCGTCTTCTGGTGATGGATAAATCATTAGCTTTGCTTTTACCTCCTGTTCACCGTGCCTATCAGGAAACCACGACAACTGTTTCTAGCCAAACTGAATCGACTCCACCGACTAAGGCTGCCCATCCAGATCATATTTCTGCTTATCATATTGGGTGCTCTGCTGATGATTGCTGATAATGTTGCCACCATTGTATGTCCATTTATTCTCCTATTTTATAACTGAACAGCTTTATGTTTCTTCCCAGTGGAAGTACGAATGATGTTCTAACCTAGTAGTAACTGGTAAGATATCTGAGTTCTTTTTCCTTGGTTCTTGTAAATGATTCTGCTGGGACTTCACATGCTCTGTTGAAATGAAATGTGGTAGAGAAAGCTGCAGACATTTCCCTAGTTATTCTGCTAGCTTCATTGTCTGCCATAGTATTAGCAATTGACTATAGCTCCAATTTGTGCTACTTTGATATTTTCTTACAGCTAATGGAACAATCTATTTTCAAATTTGAGTACGCCATTTCTTTTGTCTTTGCTACCTTGCTTTTTTACTTTTCAACTCTCTATGTTCTTTTAGTTTTCTGAGCCTTCATATATGATATACTAGTTTCCATTAGCCATATCAGTTAATATCATCCCTTGTTCTTATGCCATCCTGATTAAAGCCTCATCTGTTCTCAGCAGTGGCTTTAAAGTTTTTTAAATCTAAGGTCCTATTAAAGGTTTTGAGCTATGCAAAATCATCATTGTATGTTGTTCAGGCTCGTGGTTCATTATTAAACTTGAATCATCTCGCTTTTGTACATGCACATCAGCACGTGGTTGCATGGAACAAAATAGCGGGTGCCTGATCTTTTTCTTGGTTTCTGTATGTGACAACAGCTATCACTTATTATGGAAGCAATTATTTTTCTGGCTTTTTTGCTCTGTCTGTAGTTTAGAGTCTTTAGACATCATCGTATTTTGACCTATTTCTTTTTTTAGCCTCTCTATGATAGTCACAAGTGAATCATATAGTATCCATGATAATATTGTTTTTTTTTTTTCTGTTGAAGTTACAGTGAGTTTCTTATCTAGTTAAAGGAAGATCCTCACCAGGATTATTCACAATAGAGAATGCTAATGGTCTTTGGAAGTCATAGCCTCCTTACCAGGATTATTCACTCAATAGAGAATGCTATGGTCTTGGAAGTCATAGCCTTCCTTCAGTGAGAAATCCATCCCATTCAACTTATATTATTGAAACTTATTACCTAAATAAAGCAATTCAAAGACTTAGTTGATCTTTATTTCTTACTGGAAGTTTGCAATATGGGTGAAAAAGGTAAGGTAATATGAGCTAGGTCACGTTAAGTGGAAGGAGATCTGAATTAGGGAGTTGCACAACTGTAAGTACATGAAAGAGGAACTCATTCATATTCCATTGACCACCATTTTCTTAGGGAGTTCCTTTTGCTTTATTTTGAACTTCAATAGGCAGGGCACACACGTTACGGAACTTGGTGGAGATCTGCTTGTCCATATAAAGTTTCTTGCAGCACAAACCTGATGACTTGATCTTGGTAAGTGGTCAGGAAGGTGTTTGGTAGGTTTAAACTTGAATGGGAAATATTTCAATTTGTTCAGCCATTTTGGATCACCCAGTTAAGAGTTATACTTAGATCAACAGGCCTACGGCCCTAGAGGCCATTGAATTGTGACAATGTAATGACCAGGTAACCTACTTAGGCCACCAAGCATGACACTTTTAGTTCATCTGCATGATTACCATTAGTTTGTAATGGTTAATAGGTTATGCTAGTTATCTTCATCTTTATATTTGCTGCATCTGTGATTTAGGATTTAGGATTATTGCCACTGGTACAGTGACATCTGCAGTTGGTGTTAGTACCCAGGTCTATCAGGTCACTTGTTTTCAGAAAGCCTTAGATATAAAATTTTAAGATTTTTTTCCTTTTCAGAAGACTAACAAGATGAAGTTGTGTGTGCGCATGAGAGAGAGAGAGAGAGAGAGATTATCAACCAAATTTCATTTTTCTACATAGGAACAAGTTTTTCTTCAATCATTGATCTCTAACTAAGTGTGTAGTCTTTGATGATTCCCTTGACTATTTGCATATACTGATTTATATAGCATAACGAACCAAAAATAGCCCTGTTATTCTGAAAGAATGATGCAGGATTCAATGTCTCTTATGCTTCTTGAGGCTACTGGAGATGGGACCAACAAGGGGACAATCCCAAGAGATGATAAGTAACAATGTTTGTTCTCTTTGAACTCCTGTTCGATTAATAGTTGTTGAGATAAGACATGACAAAGTCATGCTTTTTCTGTGTGGCAATAGTTTCACATTGCAGCACTTTGATTGTTGTGGTTGGCATAAAAGAAAAGTACTCTTCAATGAACAGTTTATGGCCATGATGACAGAATCAAACACGACTTGCATGGGTTCGTAACGATTAAATTAATGTCTGTGCTGCTTATGTTTATTGCATTGGGAAGATTACTGTTCCATGCTGTATAAGAGAAGTTAATCTTCTTTATTAAAGTTGTTGAGGTGAAATAATATTTTCAATTGATGTTCTTCAAGCCAAGATGGAAGAGTATCCCCATCGAGGCTTGTGCTTTGCTGGTACAAATAAAATTATATGTTTCAGTTTGTCTTGTTTTCTGGTTAAGTATGTATCATTTATGAATCTGCAAAATTGTACCTGGAATGCGTCACATTTGTTGAACATTAATTTTCGCTCATTATGCATTTCAATATAATAGTTACTCATTGTTCCTTTAGTTGTACAATTTGTTTGATGAAAACAAGAGAGCACCAAGTTGGGATAGGTCCCAACACCTACCTCATGAAAATGACCAAGGAAGATCCACATATCAATTTATTGACTTCATTTCTGAATCATTGCATTGCACACTTATCAGTTTATTATACCATGTTATTCTAAGTCTAGATTTGTCATATGAGGTGTTGCTTGAGCTAGTTGGAACAAGTCATGATGCTTTTGATCTCTTCCTGGTTGGAAGAACAAAGAAGTGATCTCTCTCAACAAGCATTGCTCTTGCCTCCCCCCAGCTACTTGGAGCCTAAAAGGAATAACCAAGTGTATGAAACATTTCATACTTGAGTGTATTTATGAATCCCATGGATTCTGGCCTCTGGTATGCCAGTCACTTCTGCCACCTGCTCACATACACACCCCCCCCACCCCCAAACAATAAATGGTGCTTTACTTTTATGACACAGTCATGGCTTTAAACATCTTGTGCCTCCTTCAAGTGGGGTCAAATAAGTGAACATCATTTCCATTCATTAGGTGGAGAAAAGATGCAAGGCATTTTTCATTTTGAATTTGTGCATAATTTATACCTTTTAAAATGGAATTTATCATTTCCATAAAGCTCAACTTGCTTGCATCCCCTGTAGTAAATCTCTTTTAGATGACTGTCATTTGATTGTTAATTACCTTTTGGAAGCTTTGCTATGACACTGAGAATTAGATATTTTAGTTATATTCAAACTAATAACCAATAAGAATGTTTAGTAGTTATCAACCAGTGTTTTGGATGGATGTTAATGGGAGGGATGTATGTGAAGGGTCTTAATATGCTTTTGTGATGATATGAACTCTATTTTATATAGTACCATATTCATGCACATGCCATTGGGATTTTGTGGTTGCATATAATGTGTGTATATATTATATATTGTGTAAGATCTTTATTCTTGTTAGGGATATACAATTTTTGTTTTTATTTTCAAGAGTAAGTGAAACAAACTTTACTTGGTAGGGTAAACCTGCAAGTCTGCCTGTATTTGTCTTTGTTCCAATTGAGTAAGATTTCAACAGTGAAAAATAGTGTTCATCAGGCACATTCTCAAACATCCTTTTGGTCCTCTCATTGCCAAACATTTTATCTCAGTTGAAAACAACTACTTACATCACTATCACTATGATGTGGGGATTCAGGGGTTGTCAGTAAGTTTTCAGCACCTCTGAACACCCAATGGCCCTCGAAGTTGAAAACAAAGAGGCAAGATTGCTTTGCTTGCCAGACCTTCTTCATCTTTTCCCATTAGCATAGCAGTGGAATCACCTACCTACGCTTTTGTGTCTCCACAACTGTAGGCCCTCTATGGGGACATGTGGCAGGCACTGTTGACTTGGCTAGTTCCCATGATAATAAAAATTAGTTTTAACTCTCTTTTACTTTCCAGTGGGTATGGATAGGGATGTGGTGTAGTTAATTGGGTTTGGAAAGGTTACATTTAGACAAACAAATTGGTGTGTGTGTCTATATAGCTGAAAAAAAAATAAAAATTAAAATTTGATAAAATACCGACATATAAATACTGGTCAGAATACATCATTCTGATTGGTATTTGAGAGAGTCAACTCACAGGGGATGATTCATGTAACATACATTATCTTTGGCACCTTGGGTTTGATTAACATGACTTTTATACTAGCTCACTTTTCTTCAGTAGTTTTGGGGTTGATAGGATACAGCATTGCTCATGTAGCTCTGACCAGTCAACCCCTTGATGAGGGTCAAGCAGTGTAGAAATAAAGGTCTCCAAAAAAAGAACAGAGTTGCTGCTTTTGATGTTTTAAAGCTTCCCCCATTCCCCTCTCTCTCTCTCTCTCTCTCTCTCTCTCTCTCTCTCTCTCTGTCTTCATAGATTTCCTGTACACGAGGCTGGAACCCATTTTTCTATGTTGCTCCTACACCTAGGAAATCAATGAAGGGTAAGCTAATCTTCTCCCTGCCATATGTGGTCTCACCCTGCAGCCAAGCTTTGCTCATGTGATAATCCACTGTCCCCTTTGCTGAAATCTCAGGATTTGCAGAGGAACCAGACTGATCAAACCCAGGAAACCACCTAATGGGAGCACCACCATTAGGTAAGAAACCACTGCCAGGGTCATCAGACTTCTGATGACATTGATTCCCTGCACTCAACACCTTTTCACCATATCCTACATAGAAAAAGGTAATTGACATTTATGTACTCTCAGAATCTGATTAATATAAAGAAGATGCAAATGACAAGATTACTATCAGTAAAGGCCTCATAACAAAATTGAATCATATAATTAGCAAGAAAAATAACCCACAATCATTCAACAAGAAAAATTGAGTTGTGGGATGTACCATTTACTAGATCATGAAGGTGTGTCTGATAAGGAGGAGGGTTGTGTCTGCTTAGGGAGCTGGGACCAACCACGCTGGTGATGGTGCTGAAGGAATTGAGGGACAGGTCTGTTGTGCAGGTGGAGGCAGACTCATCTTTGGTGCTGATGATGGTGGAATCACAACTGCAGGAACCATGGCTGGTGCTGTTCCCCTCCGGTCTCTTGGGGAGGAGGGCCTCCGGGGGTGGGGAGCTCAGAGAGGAGGTGAGGGGCTTCCTCTTCCTGTAACCATTCGACTGCTCCCTGTGCTTCCTGGCCATGATCACATGCCAGTGATTCTTGACTGCATTGTCTGTCCTTCCAGGGAAGAGCCTGGCAATCAGTGCCCATTTGTTGCCATAGAGCCTGTGGGCAGCCAATAGCCTCTTCTCTTCTTCCTCACTGAAGGCTCTCCTGTTGATTCTTGGGTCCAGTTGGTTGAACCATCTAAGCCTGCAGCTCTTCCCTGTACAAAAACCAAATCCAACAAGAGTAATATCACAAGTCAAAGAAAGATCCTTGGAAAAGAAATCGATAGGTGTTTTTGCAATGAACATCTTTTTCTGAGGTGACTTGCTGGATTACCTGATCTCCCTTCTAACTTCTCAGCAATAAGGTTCCAGTTTTGGGGGCCATATTGGGAGACTAGCTGCCTTAGCCTGGTATCCTCAGCTGGCCTCCAATGTCCCCTGGCACAGAGCTTGTGGTGCTGCACACTCTCATGGGTGGTACTGTTGCCACCACCTTCATCTTCCTCACCTCCATGATGCTCTTGCCCCCCCCATCTAGAAATCTGGAACACCCAACCTTGTTCAACACCCTTGCATTCCCTCTCTCCAAATGGAGAGCCTAAAGCACCAGGAAATGGAGGCAGTGGTGGAGGAAAGAAACCCATGTCAGCTGTGGCTTTCAGTTCATTTGAAGCCATTTCTCTTTGTCTTCCAAACCAAGATCATGTACATGAAAATAGATGAAAAAGAAAAGATAGAGAGAGAGAGAGAGAGAGAGAGAGAGAGAGAGAGAAGCCAAAGAAACACTAGAAAAGGAAACACAAAGCCATCCCAAAAACCAGCTGATGAGTAGTTTGCAGGAGAAGCTTGAGAGGGTAGCAAAGCTTTTAAAACAGGAGGAAGGTGGATGATAGAGGCCCCCAAAGAGTTACCTCTCTTCCAAGAAAAGGACACTGTCACAGAAACAGCCTTGGCGCAAGAAAGCCACACATCTCTCTCTCTCTCTCTCTCTCACAGTGTATGTTTGTGAGTTTATGGTTCACCTAGTTTGAGTCTGATAGCTCTGTGGGCAGTGTGCATTGGGGTTCAAAAGGGTACCACTCGTGTGGGTTTTGGAGTTTGAGCCTCCCACAACAGTCTTTTTATAACAGAGCTGCCCTCTGTCCCTCACAGCCTTGACAAATCCACCAGAGCTGTCCTGTCTCCTCATGCCCCCAACCCCCCTTCGGGCATTGGCTTTCAAAGCACATAAAAACTGGTAAAAGTAACTGCACACACGACAGAGAAGGGGAGTCAGTAGAGGAAATGGGACAGGTACTGTTCATCCTTTCTCTTTCATCACCCTTTGTTATCATCTGTTCTTTTTGTACACTTTTTTTTGGTTTGCTGACCGATGTGGTGTGCTGCTCTCTTAACTCTTGGTCCTTCATCGGATATGCTTCCCAAAATTTCATCTCCTTTATTCCTTTTCTTAATCCAATGCAATTTGATTGGGTTAGTTTCTGATCTCATTTCTATTATATGGAAAGTAGTGGTTCATGTGGCTTTTATAGAGTTAGAAGAGGAAATATTACAGTCACTGTTCATCATTTTGTTTCATCAGCATTTGTTTTTGTCTGCTGTTTGTGTTAATTATTGGTTTGCTGACAGATGTGATTTGTTTTTCTTTTAACTCTTGGTCCTCTACTAATGCTTCCAAAATTCCATCTTCTTTATTCCTTTTCTAAGAGAAATTTGCTTAGCTTGTGTGCTGATTTTATGAGGTTAAATTAACATGGATTTGTTTATTGTTTGTAGTAGCCAAAAGGTTTATACACACAGGTTTTAGGCACACTAAAAAACTAAGTGCAA